AAAAAAACATAAGAGTTGGAATTTATACAGATTTTACTACTTATCTAAATAACTATTTATTGAATATCATCATGATTAAAATATAAAGTCAGTTTTGCTTCTGTTGCTTATTATTGTTTATATTGTGTTCCTAAAACATTATAGCTTTATGAATAACATTATTATTATTATTATTACTACTACTAGAGGGCACATGTGCTTAGCAGAGACAGACAGAGAGACAGAGAGAGCAGGGGAGAGAAAGCACCCCTGTGGGGAATGGGGGAATGGTCACACTGCAATCCCTTCTTTCTCATCTCTTCTTCCCTTTGGGAAATTGGGCATGTACACATTCTCTGGTATGTTTCCCAAGCTGCTGATTTGGGACTTGAACTGCTCAGTTGGCCAAGTGGGATCCACCTGCCTTAACCAGTAGGTCAAGGAGCCTACACATGTGAAGAACCATTTTTATCTTCTCACCGCAGTCCATGTGTGCCTTGCCACAGTGCTTGACAAAAAGGGTGCATTCAGAACCTCAACACCTCCTGTGTCTCCCATTTGCTTTTAGAGGAATTCCAATCATCTTTTTATAGACTACTTTTCAAAGTGTAACTAATTATTTGCACTTGTCTTTTGGCCTAGCATGCTTTTCCTGCAATGTTCAAAGGTGAAAAAAGTTCTCAAGTGCAGGATATTGTAAGTGGGCTTGTAGGGACAGAGACAATGAGCTGCAAGAAGACCACACATCTGAAGAGTTTTTAAATATTGTGGAGAGACTTGCAGGCTATGCTAGCATTTAAAAATAAAAATAAGTGGATTTTCCCCAAAGGGGGCACAATCACATGGTTCTGAGGAGTGAGTATTGCCATACAGGGTAACCGCAGTCTTCATTAACGCATTTTCAGCTGAATGATTTCAAAGGTGCAGCATGTACCAACATGTGATTTAGAATGAGGAATGAGAGAGACATGGATGGAAAGGTAATTTAAGAAATTGTGTCCTGAAGGTGGAACAAAAATATCTGGTAGCTACAGGGGGAATTGGGATCAAGTGAAACAAATAGTTGTGTTGTATGTTTTGTCTCATTTTGCTTTTGAGCATGTCAGAAGGGCTGCAGATGCTTGCGTTTTCTCAAAGAGAGGTTCCTAATACAAATAAAGGTTTTTTTTTTTTTTTCTTGAATAGAAGCAATGATGCATTTTCATTGGAGCTGGAAGAAAAGTAGAAAGGGTTGGTATAACTGCATGTAATTTTGGCAATTTGATGACAGGAAGATGAGAAAGTTCCTCTCTGATAACTTCTATTTTCTTAACATAATGCTTCAAGTGAATGTCTCAGCTGGCGGTTAACAGGAACTGAGCTTGTAAGAGTTTGGAAAGAAAGAGAAAAAAAAAGGAGTAGGTACAAGATAACCATGCTGATGTTGGGAAAGGAAGTTAACTAAGCAGACAGTATGAAGATTGCAGCAGAGTGGTATACCACACTGGGATTTGGGAGCAAAATTTGAAGGTGATGAATAGTTACAGTTTGTGATGTTTTTCTTGGATAACATTGAATTGCACAATATTTCTCTATGAACACATACTTGGACTTCTTTAGTAACTTCAAGTTAAATAATACCTTAAGCATTACTTACTATCTTCCCCCAAATACATTTCATATCTAGTAATCTCCATCTGAAAAAAAGGTCCCAATATTTTCTGTGCAGTTTAAGTCACACATCTTAGAGCCCACACATCTTAGAGTCATTCTTGATCTGATCTATTGAATCTATCATGAAACTTGGTAATTTATCTTATCTCATCTTCATTTCCTGAAGTCATCAACTCTTACCTTTTACCATTAGAACCACTCTTGTTCACTCTTGTTCCATAACAATGTCTCTTTCTTTTATTTTTTTGAGTTTTACTATAGGGCACATATGTTCACCAGAGACACAGAAAGAGAAAGTGAGAAATCACCTCCCTGGAGAGATGGCCATGTCGCAATCCCTTCTCCTCCATTCTCCTCTCCAGATATTTGGCACGCATGCACATGCACCCAGCATGAGTTTCATGACACCGGGTCTGGGACTCGAGCCACAGTTGACCATGTCAAAGTCCAGTGCCTTAAACATTACACCCCATGTTGTTCCAACAATGTCTCTTTCCAGATGGATGCTATACAAACAAAAGCCCAGTTGCTTCCATTCTTGACCTTCTCCCATCCATTACCCATGTTGCTGTGACTTGATCTCTTCAACTCTGCTTTGTTCTCATCATTTCCCTACTTAAAACGGAAGAATCTTCAGATAGAACAGTTTTAATTAGCTGATTAAATGTTTGCAGGGGCATCCCTTTACCTACAAAATACAATTCCAGATACTAAATAAAAACTCTAAGGGTTTTTAGTGACCTAGTGTTCTCTGCCAGTGTATGTTTATTTCTTCTCTTTTATTTCCACTTCTTCCTGAACACTTCTTTAGTTTCCTCCACCTTCCTGTTTGTTCTCCTCCTCTTGTGTTCATTTGTAAATATTTCTCCCGCTAAGGCGCTGTTACACTCCTATTCAGATTGAATAATGTTCTTACTATCTGAAATCTCATCAGACTCAACTTTCAGGGAGAAGTGTGCTTTGATATTCTAGTTTAAATCAAATGTTTATGTTCACTCCCATATTATTTCTCTTTCTTAACATAATCATATTAATAATTTTAAGACTTTGAAGGCAAGGCCAGGCCTAGTTTGTTTAACTCTGTAACTCAGTACCAAAAAGTGTTTTGAGTCCATCACCTCTGCTGAAAGCATTTTGTTGAGCTTCTGATGGAAAGATACATTTATCTACCTTTCATTGAGTAGATATTATCTTCTACTTCCACGGGGGGGTTAATAGCAGTGTTATATAGGATATCATACAAGATGTTTAAGTTAAAAGGTACTCATTAAAAAGAAATGACTTTTGTTTTATGAATGATAGATGATTCCAAATACACAGAGTATGTGTATTGACACTTCATGTCTTTGAAAGCAAATAGCATTTAAAGTGAGAATGGTTTTATGAAAAGGATAAAAGAAGAAAAATTGGATAACTTGGCTAAGTATGGTATTGGCTGCTACAGCAATCCTATTAAAAGAAAAATACTATTTTAAATCTTCGCCTAATCATTTAACTACAAGAATGTTCCTAATACTATCAAAAAGCTCTTCTTATCTTTCAAATACCTTCACATTCTCTTTGAATTTGTAAGAGCATTAAGGCTTTACTATCACTATAATTAGATCTACTGAAAAAGTACCTTCTCATTTTTGCCAATTCCTGATTATTCATGGTGATGGCAGAGAGCCTGAGCATGGATTACTGAAACTTGAGATCATTTTTAGCATATGAAAATTAGCCCCAATTCATTATGTCTATCAAACATTTCTATTGAAGTACAAGTTCACCTTTGAGCTTCAGCAAATGTGCATTGATGCTAGAATAAATACAGCAGCATATGTAGTCAGTTTTGAAACTAGAAAAAAAAAGAGTTGATTGGCTCTATGTAAAATAAGCCCTAAAACAGTATTCAAACCATCAGTTCACTGGTCTTCAATTGGCCTCTTTTGAGCACTTGGAATATTAAAGCTTGGATTTATTGATGATTGAGAAAAAAGAGTGATATGAGCATATAGGGAATTAATAGAATGAAAAGATTTATTTCATGAGCACTTACCTGACCACCAAGTTAGAAATGTTAACAGAAATATCAGGGAACTCCTTTTTTATGTGATTCTAAATAGTTCCTTTACACTCTTCATTCTTTCATGCATAGCACACCACTTTTTAAATACTTATTGTGATCAAACACTGTGATAAAAGTTGTGAATGCAAAACTGAAGACATTATTTCTGCCTCTTATAGATCATTATAATTTGCATAGTGCCAATATTACTGATATTAACAGATGAATGTTGAATCAGTAGGAACCTCAAGGAAAAGTTCTAAAATGGATTAAAATGTAAAACAAATATCTAAAATCTGACTCGTGAAATAAACATGGATGGATGATACACTAGCCCATTTATATAAGCCTTCTTCCCAATGTAACAGAATTTATGACATTTTTAACATCTAAGTAATTTATTTATTAGTTTAATAACAACATTTTGAGCACCTAAATGTGTATTGTACCATTTTAGGAGTCTCTGGGATAATCCGCATTGTTTTTCAACATTGTTTTACAATAGTGATAAAGTCAGTGAAAATTGTATTCAAAGCATAAGTTCTATTTTAAATACATATAAGTATTTGCCTTTTAGAAATATAATTTCTTTTTTAAAGTGGGAGTTCAGCACTTCAACCACCATGCCACTGCTGGCCCCTAGAAAATATATACATATATATATATATTTATAACTTTGATAAATCCACTTCCCTGTTTGCATATATATATATATATATATATATATGTGTGTGTGTGTGTGTGTGTGTGTGTGAGTGTGTGTGTGTGTATACATATATATATACACACACACACACACATATATATTTTTTAAGAATTTTTTTGCTATAGGCCACATGCATTCACCAAAGAGACAGAGAGAGACAGAAAACTAGCAGAAAACTAGAAATCACCCCCTGGGGGTATGGCCACACTGCAATCACTTCTCCTCCATTCTCTTCTTGGGATTTTGGACACACACGCATATATGCCTGGCATGAGTTTTAAGTCACCAAATCCAAGACTCAAAACCATGGTCAACTACATGGGAGTCCAGTGCCTCAACTCCCATGCCACCTGCCAGTCCCTAGAAATATAATTTCTTCTAAGCTCCTGTAGCATAAACTGTATGCAATCTGTACATGTTTAATTTAAATACTTTAAATAATTATTTGATTATCTGAATGAGTAGCCTAGTATTTATGATCCAGAAGCTTATGAAACATTCTTGAAGTTGTGTTAACTATAATCTGTGTATACTAGTCAAAATAATGACATAATTCACAAAGCAAACACTGCATCTGTTCCAGGGAAAAGCTTAGTCTCTTATTTCTTTTGACAGTGTGCAGACCTGGGTTCTTCAAAGCCTCACCTCACAGCCAGAGCTGCAGCAAATGTCCACCTCACAGTTACACCCATGAGGAAGCTTCAACCTCTTGTGTCTGTGAAAAGGATTATTTCAGGAGGGAGTCTGATCCACCCACAATGGCATGCACAAGTAAGGAAACCCATGGATATTTGGTGATACTAACTTTCACCAGTTTGAAGAAACAGCATGATGGAGCCTGTTACAGTCTATTAACATGTCCCCCTAAAACAGGCATAACGTTTAATCTTCTCAATAACGGTTTCATCCGATTTTGATTTCCTGGAGTAAGCATTGAAACATTTGAGTCTTTTTTATCCATCATTGTTAGAAGCATACATTTTCCCTGATATGAAGTTCAACATCTGAGACACAGATATGTAATTTTTTAAAATTTTAATGGTCATGATAACCAAACATGACTTTGATAAATCCACTTCCCTGTTTGCATTAAACCTTTGCCTCCCTAAGCCAGTTTTCTGCTCATATAGCTGTGCAGTCAATGATGTTTTTCCTTTCTTTTCTTTTCTAACCTGTCCTAGTAAGTTGCAAAGGCCAATGAGAGAGATTTATGAAAAGACAGGGAGCACTTTGAGAAGACGGTGAACTAGAGGATAGCAGGTCCAATTTTTAGAATCATTTAGACAACTAATTTTTTCACTAGGGTTTTCAAGCCATTGTCATGTGTCTTGTTAGTATGTACTCTTATTATTTGTAACATATTTTCTGATCATATCATTAGAGTGGGTGCATATTACACACTTAATTTTAATTTTGGCAGTAGATTTCTCAATCCTTTTTTTTAAGAATTATTTATTGAAATTTATTTATTCATTATTATTATTATTTTCTTAATTTGACCATAGAGTGACACACAGAGAGTGATAGGGAGACAGAGAGAAAGAGGGAAAGTGAAAAAGCAACCCACCAGGTCTGGGACTCAAACCGTGGTCAGCCATGTGGGAGTTATAGCTGTGCAGTCAATGATGTTTTTCCTTTCTTTTCTTTTCTAACCTGTCCTAGTAAGTTGCAAAGGCCAATGAGAGAGATTTATGAAAAGACAGGGAGCACTTTGAGAAGACGGTGAACTAGAGGATAGCAGGTCCAATTTTTAGAATCATTTAGACAACTAATTTTTTCACTAGGGTTTTCAAGCCATTGTCATGTGTCTTGTTAGTATGTACTCTTATTATTTGTAACATATTTTCTGATCATATCATTAGAGTGGGTGCATATTACACACTTAATTTTAATTTTGGCAGTAGATTTCTCAATCCTTTTTTTTAAGAATTATTTATTGAAATTTATTTATTCATTATTATTATTATTTTCTTAATTTGACCATAGAGTGACACACAGAGAGTGATAGGGAGACAGAGAGAAAGAGGGAAAGTGAAAAAGCAACCCACCAGGTCTGGGACTCAAACCGTGGTCAGCCATGTGGGAGTGTCCAGCGTCTTCACCACCACGCCACCTGCTGGTCCCCTCAATGATTCTTATAGTTTCATTTTTGTAATTTTCCACATATTTCTGGGAATTTGGCAGCTTTATGCATTTGTTTGATGATAGTACAATCAGAATTTTTCTATAATGTCTCAATAGCTAATCAAATAAAAAGAAAAAAGTAAAGGGACAATAAATGTCTTCCTCCCTCTTCATAATGTTCAGTTTCCATGACCTGTCTTACTTTACTATTTTAGAGCCAAGTATGAGAGAGCTGCTCTCAAAGATGTTCCCAAACACTTTTGAAATGTTGGTGTTCATCCCTAAATATGAAAAGACAGTACAGATTCCTTGTTATCAAATCATAGCAAATTGAAATTTGATCTGAATTTCACAGTGGCATATAGTTTTAGGGTTCCTCAAATCATTGCTATTCTATAGCGTTATATTTTTGAAGATCATTCTTTTTATCTCAGGACCGATAATGTTATGAGTTAGAGTCTTTCTGAGAAACAACTCCTCTTTAAGTGAGTAAATATAAACTTTGGGGAGGATACACTGAAATGGAGAAGATCTAAACCATGATGAATTTGATGCCTTTGGTTGCAGTGGAGATTTAAACAATTCTTTAGGTTATTGAGAACAAAAGACTCCCCAGATAACAGAAAAAGGGTTGGCTTAGACAACAGACGGGTAAATTAAGAAGAGAAAAGCATGTCTTGAATTATCTTTTACATTTTGCCAATTTTCTAATTAGTATTTTCTTTAAGTGGTCTACTGATAATTTTTGTCTTTCTTGGCATAGATGTGAGTCTCTCTTGCTGTAGATTTCTTAGATTTGGGGATGGGAGAGAAGCCATGTCTTGATGGCAAGGACTACTTTGCATTCTTCAGGGACAAAGTCCACAGAAAGGCTTTACGGTGTTGTTGTTCTGTCTCTAGGTGTGTGAGTTTCTAATATTGTGTCTCAAAACAACACTAATTTGTATGCATTTCTGAAATGAGAATATTGGGATTCATATAAGGCTTTTCTAACACATCGTCTCTGAGTCTGTGTGTCTGTTTTTAGTTGCATTCATAGTACACAAATAGTGCATAAAGTCCCCTTATAGTGTGGATGATGTTCAGATGAAGATCTTGAATTTCATTTTCCTTTAGGCTCTTTGGAATTGAATTTATAGTTCCAACTCCTTTTAATTTTTTTTCCCTGGAATATGATTATCTCTATATATTTTAGCCTGGAAGAATATTTATGAATCTAAAGTGAAAAAATAAAAAATTAAAACCAAGATTTTCATGAATCTGTTTAAATCAAGGGTCCTTTTCACAGTTTTACCGTATCTATATTTATACTTACTGTATCTATAATATGATCAGGGCAATGGAATTTCATTAGCTCATTTTCTAGGGGTGTATTTGTTTGAATCTCTGCTTTTACTTCTGCTGTAGAGCTTTGCTGGAGTTTGAGTTTCATTTTGACTTTCGAGGTTACATGTGTCTTCACCTAAATGTGACGGATTCAGACTTCAGTGCATTTTTATAGATTTGGAGGAAAGGTGTGAAATGCAATTGTATTTCAATAGGCATCTTTCTAAACTGGACATGTTTTAATATATGCTAAACCCTCTTTTCTCAGAACTTAAATTTGTAAGTTTTTTAAAAATTTCTAATTACATTTTCTTTCACAACTTGTCACTATTAAAAGCTAGATCTTGTAAAAATGGTAGTTCCTGTGTTTCCATCTTAATTGTTTCTACTTAAAAGTGACGGTTTCATCTTGAAGTCTGTTGGTTGTACATATGGAAACATTTTCAGGGCTCAATCATAAATATAGCCAAGGTGAGGATTGTTTTGGCAAAAATGGTCAACTCTTTAGTTATGGGGTCCTTTCATTTCAATAGCATTTCATATATGAATCATTCTATGCTAGGTAGCATTCTGGTAAGTTTTTAATTTGTCCTCAACAATCATGATTGGATAGATATTAGGTAGAAGTTAATATTAAACTCTATATTTAGAACAGACCATGCCTATTAAGATAACTAAATTAGATCATCGTAAGTAGCTTAATTTATGCTTATGAACCATTCAACTTCCACCACATTCCATTTTATTCCCTGTAGAAAGAGATTTATTAATTAAGTCTGCAAGAATTAAAAATGCATTTTCTCTTTGAGAATAGGTACTTGTAAAACATTAATAGCTGACTGAAGTTTTAACTCTAAATATCTAAAATCAACTAGAGTTAGACGTTATGCAATTGATTTTAGTTTTCTTTAGTATATTAATTGTTAGTTTCAGAAATAGGTAAAATAGTAAATAAACAAGATATTTTTATTCCTTAAGAAATCTTTAAAGCAATTCAAAGTGTGAGTTTTATTACTAAAATTTTAGTGAAAATATTCCATTGAAATAAGGTAATTCTGAATATAAAATGGTCTATTAAATTGCATCCAATTTCCCTTTAACATATAGCTAAAAAAACAGTGGCTAAGATACTCTACATGAAGTTAGAAAAGTCACACTAATAGTATTCTAAGATGTCTTGATTCTATGACAGTATTTTAGTTAAATATAGTTCCTTCTTGATAGTGGTAGATCCTTGGAGATCAAAATTTGTTCTACTTCTAGTGCTTCTGAGGATTATTTTTAAAATAAGTTTTAGATTTTCAGTTAAGTAAAATTCACACCTATAGAATCAAAATATAAAAACAATATTACAATAAAAGAAGTTTTGATAAAGATTGTAACTACTTAAATCCTAGTGCTTTCTAGATGTAGGAGAGAGGGTTTCAAATTCTGTTGGTGACTTATTAAGTAGAAATGCAATTTATTTTGAAGTAAGCTTTGGTTTACTCGTAGAATTTGTAGTCAAGAGCTGCACTGACAAATCATATTATACCTCTGCTCATTGCTTGCTTGTTTGCAGGGAGTAGTGTCAATGTGGAAGTAATCAGTTCAATCCCCAAGGAGATTCATTTGCCACTTCTAGATATATAATTTATCTAACATTATTTGTGCATACATAATGTACTCCCTATTATAGTATTTGCATATATACTAAGCAAAACATCTGCTTTTCACTAAAGTAGTGCTATAACAATATCATGATAAGTCATTTCTACAGAGCATAATCTCTACTATTGTCCCTCAAAACTATAAGAATTTTCAAAAATAGTAACAAATTATCACTTAAAAGATTGATTGCGACTCTATTTTTTCCTTCAGACCAGGGATTGGTGTGGTAAATGGTGCCTAATTCATATCATCTTAAAAATATGTTTTTCTCACTTTACTTTGCAAACCAGGACCCCCCTCAGCTCCTCGGAATGCCATCTCAAATGTTAATGAAACTAGTGTCTTTCTGGAATGGATTCCGCCCGCTGACACTGGTGGAAGGAAAGATGTGTCCTATTATATTGCATGCAAGAAGTGCAACTCCCATGCAGGTGTGTGTGAGGAGTGTGGAGGTCATGTCAGGTACCTCCCCCGGCAAATCGGCCTGAAAAACACCTCTGTCATGATGGTGGATCTGCTCGCTCACACAAACTATACCTTTGAGATTGAGGCAGTGAATGGAGTGTCCGACTTGAGCCCAGGAGCCCGGCAGTATGTGTCTGTAAATGTAACCACAAATCAAGCAGGTAAGTGTCATGCCCAACCAACCTGTGTATCTTCAGCCTCCCCTCTCTCAATTACCTCCACAGCTGAGGGCCAACAGGCTGAGCTCTGCATAGGAATTTCCATAAACCAGGTCAGGATTTAAGTATAACACATCTCAAAAGGCTTTTTTAGTTTCATACAAATGAAAGCCTCAGGCCTTCTTAGCAGACACATCTAGAGATAGAATAATAAAAAAAAATGTCTAAACTGAATGTTTTAATTAAAAATACATTTCTGAACTCAATCTATTTGTAACCAAAAATCTTTGTCACATGTAATTTTATGCCATGAATTTTTATAGCTCAAATCTGCCTTTTTTCTTACATAGTTTTCTTCATTTTGTAGAAAAATTTTATTCATTCAGCACGAATTTAGGCAAATTTTATTTCCTTGTTTATTTATTTGCTTGTTTGGTGCCACAGCTCAATTTTCTTTGCAGATTTTAAGTCTTGTCATATTATTTCTATTATAATTGCAAAAATGCATGAAATGAATTTTCTTTGCTAAATCCATTTATCAAAATTGGAATAACTATGAATTTGTGTACGACCACATGAAAACACATCTATATTGCACGTGGAGATCTTGGAATTATTAGGGAGTAGCGGATGCATTCCTGTTTGAGCTACTAATTCACCTCTATTTTCCCCTCAAATATTCACTTTTAAGTAAACCAACAAAGAAGATTTCTTTTGTAATACAATAAGAAACAAAAGGTAAAATACAGCAGATTTTATAATTCAACCGACTATGTGGTAAGAATGATTCCAGGCCTAAGAGTAATTTATAATTTGTTTTGTTTTTGTTTAACTATGATTATGTAGGAGAGCATGAGAAAAGCATTGAAAGCAAAAAGTTGTAAGCTTTCTGTATTACCTGGACACTCCTATCAGTCCAAGCTTGTCACCTCGTGTGGACAAGCCCACATGGGCTTTGGTCAGTCAGCACATCCTTGCTATCAGTGCTGACAATGAAAGAGGAAGTGTTTGAATCTAACTGGACTTCGCTCATGCACAATTAGACTAAGTTTATAGGCTGTGGAAAGATAGAGGTTGGCAAAGAGTACTACTGGTTAGCGAGACTTGGCCTAAGTATTTCATTTGAATTGTTGGGTAAGTCAGTGTAAATCAAGTGGTTTTATCTTATGAATGCATGCAGTTGAGTTCACAGTTGTTTCTGAGAGGTGAAGCTGAGAGAGACACTCAATAGTAGCCCGGATGATGCGCGGAAGTCTCTGAGTACTGTGCAGAGAGGGTTCTGAACATGACGTATTGTTATGTCGAGTACCCATCCATCTGCAGCTCTTTTCTCCCTGAAAGAAAACAATGCACGTATATAGGCCACTTTCCTCAGAAAAGCTGTTATCTACCTCTCTATTTACTTCTTAACCTTAGGTGGAACTAATAAAGGTGCTAAAAATCTGGACAGGAATAGTGAAAAGTCATTTTTCCCTCAGCATAGACTCCGCTGCAGGCCAGGCTGGCAGTCGTTGATTTTCCATCACGGTATCTCCGCGTCACAGGGCTCCGTAAATGTGAGCTGTCTTCCCATATCAGAAAATAATATCTTTCAACCCGAGGTTTCAGGCTTCTTATGCAAGGTCTTTCAGCCTTACTTGGTTCTAAGTATGACTTTTCCATTAACATGCTAAAAGCATATTGAATAATCACTAAGAGTTGTGTTCCTTTGGGGGAAAATTCTCTAGCTGGGGGAAAATTCTCTAGCTTGCGTAACCTTAACTTCTTTGAAAAATATTCCTTTGATGAGCTAAATGTGGGAAACAGCTATTTATTTAGTGTGTGTGTGTGTGTGTGTGTGTGTGTGTGTGTGCGTGTGTGTATTTAACGCTGTACTCAATAAATAAACATTAGTTGTAGTTGTCTTTGACTTGATGATCTGTTCAGACTCCAAAGTATTTTATTTGGACCTCCCTTACTTTAAATACCAAGAATGATTAGTTTTCATCCAGCTGCTTGAGGCCTGGCTGCCACATAAAACAAGTATTTGAATTCAGAGCAGACTTATTGACGTTTGACTGCTGCTTTTTCCAGTTCTCAGAGTACACACTGTAAAACCCTTGCAAACCTACTCAAAAATATCAGAATAAGATTTTTCTCAATAGCAGCATTCCAGATGAACTAAGTCTCAATTTCCACAGAAATTGTTACCTTCGAATAGCTCCTGAAAAGTCTGAGATTCAATATCACCGTGGATGAACATTCATCAAGTTCCAACATCACAGAAAGTGGGTTGGAGGAGTTACTCAGTTTTTAATGTCTGAATATTTATTAAGCATGAAATTGAAGAAAGTTATCCACACCATATGCGATTCGTGTGTAAAACTTCTTTTAGCAGATTTTAACTTTAATCTTCAAAAGATTGTTTTCTGAGAAGTGTGTTTTTTCCCTTCAATAATGTATTTAAAATTATTATTTGGCCTTCATCGTTGTGTAGAATTTTGATTGGCATAATTACTTTTTTTGACAGCAACACATGTATGTACTGTTCAAATTCCAAATTAGATTCAAAAAGTACTAAAAGAAAAAAAAATGTTATCTGTTCAGATGAAAATTTTGCATTAAGCTAGGAACTGAAATTGATTAGTTAAACCTAGTTGATGGTCTACAAAAGACAGTGATTAAATTATTACATTATAGGGGCCAGCAGGTGGCATAGTGGTTAAGGTGCTCAGCTCCCACGTCGTCGACTATGGTTTGAGTCCTGAACCCAGTGGCTTGAAAAATATGCCAGGTGTGTGTGCATGTGTGGTCAAAATTACAGGAGGAAAATGAGGAGAAAGGATTGTCACATGACTATTGCCCCCTGGGGGGTGATTTCTCACTTTCCTTCTTTCTTTCTCTGTCTGTGTCTCTCTGTCTATCTCCAGTGAGTACATATACCCTATAGCAAATAAAGGGGGAAAAAAAAAAAAGAAAAAGAAATAAAGCCATTGAGTTCTTGAACTTTTCAAGTGTGTTTTTAATCCTTTTTTTGGTAATACATTCTTTCAAAACATTTACTTAAGGATAATCTTTCTTTGCTGGATAAACGTTTAGATTTATTTACACAACAACACTTCAGTTTTTCTTCTGTTTTATTCTTTTAGGGCATCTAAAATTTATCTCTTTAAATGATAGACAAAGAGATGAATAATATAGACATATCAACATTAAAAATTTTCTTGAAGAAGTTACTTTGAAACTTTTATTATCTACTCAACATAATATTGTACATTTATTAGATTTTTCTATAAATAACCTCTCCTATAAATATCATTTTTATTTAAAACTAATTTCACTAGGCATATGAAAGGTATTCCAAAAGTTTATAGACAATTCATATGTGTGGGACCAGCAGTTAGCGTTAATGGCTATGTCGCTGGACTCCCACGTAGTTGACCGCGGTTCGCATCCCAAACCCGGTGGCTTAAACTCACGCCGGGCACGTGTGCGTGCGTGCCCAAGATCCCGAGAGGAGAATGGAGGAGAAGGGATTGTGGCGTGACCATCCCTCCTGGGGGGTGATTTCTTGCTTTCTGTCTCTCTGTCTCTCTCTGTCTGTCTGGCGAGCACACACGCCCTATAGCGAAAACCTCTCCAAAAAAAAAAAAAAGAAAAAGAAAATTCATATGTGAAAAACCTACACATGCATTTAAAATTTTTTTGCACCAAAATGAACTTGTACTTTAATTCCATTTTCTATGAACTTTTTGAAGTACCCTACTGTATAACAAAGGCTTAAAGTTCATTTAATATAAACACATGCATGCATTATTGCAAGGAAAGATGAGCTCATTCTGACCACAAAACCAAAGTTACTAATAATTACGCAGAGGTACAGGTTTCTAATAGACTAACACTGAATGGTTCTGAGTTAAGTCGGAGACTCTTGGACCCTTTCCCTAAGAGAATTGTCTTAATATGATATGGGTGGCAAACCTTGCCTCTCACTTGGGAGATGTCCTAGCATATCCCAGAGCATCAGAAATAACACAAGGTAGGTGGTTCCCATATTTTTTTTAACTTCCTTCCTTCCTTCCTTCCTTCCTTCCTTCCTTCCTTCCTCCCTTCCTTCCTTCTTTCCTTCCTCCCTTCCTTCCTTCTTTCCTTCCTTCTTTCCTTTCTTTCTCTCTCTCTCTCTCTCTCTTTGACCAGAGAGGAAAAGAACAAGAGAGAGGGAGAAAATGAGAAGGCATGCCACCAGGCCCGGGACTAGAACTGCGGTCAGCCATGTGGGACCCTAATTACCATACCACCTGCTGACCCCAAATTCCCATATTTTTGATGGGAGTCACTCATGGATTCTTACCAAGGTGTTTAAGGCATTGTAATCCAGGGTCCTTTCAGCTGGGTTCCATCTTCAGAGCTGACCAGCATGATATAGCTATTCTAATACCAAGTGTCAGGATGTTTGTCAATTTTTTCCTGTGGAAAAATCACAGTGGCTGTATTTGGTTTCTGTTTTTTTTTTTTTGTTTGTTTGTTTCTTTTTTGTTTTTGTTTTAAGAAAGATCTTTTGCTATAGGATGTGTTCACTTGCCAGAGAGATAGAAAGTGAGAAATCATCCCCACCCAGGGGGGGGATGGCCATGTTGCAATCCATGGAATTTTGGCCACACATTCACAGATGTCCAGTGTGAGTTTCATGCAGCCAGGTCTGGGACTTGAACCATGGTTGGTCATGTGGATGTTCAGTGATGAAATCGTTATACTGTCTGCTGGTCACAATATATTTGTAATCACTGCTGATTAAGCATATATTTGTTGGGCAAGCAGGTAGTGAAGCAGTTAAGGCAGATGGATTCCACACGGCCAACTTGGCATAGTTTAAGTCCCAGACTCAGTGGCTTGAAAAACACCCTGGGCTCATGTCCAAAATCCCCAGAGAGGGAATAGAGAAGAGATTGTGATGTGATTTTACCACTAGGGGAGGAGGATTTCTCACTCTCTCTTTCTCCAGTGAGTACACAAACCCTAAAGCA